ACAAACCCCTAAAATTAATCACAGTTGGAAGGTAGCGTGCACAAAATGTAGTTCAGGATGTGACCGTGCCTCTGTGACTGAACATACAAGGCTGATCTCAGCACTGCACACATCTCAGGATGGTAGGGACGGCTTAATGAAGGAAAAGCCGCGGACATAGCATTGGCACTGCCTCTGTCTGCTTTCTAGCCCAGTGACAGGGACTTCTTACACACCCTCTCGTCCATAGATGAACACCTCTGAGACCAGGAGCCAAAAGAATTTTTCCTTAGAGTTGCTTCTGAAAGCATTCGGTCAGAGCATTAAGAAAAGTGACACGCTGTGTTGGCTCTTCCTGGTTTTACACACTGTGGCTATAGTTCACAATCACATGAGCCACTGCTGTTAAAAATAGAAAAGGAAGCAAGAAAAGAGAAAGTGACATTAACGAGCTGCTTTGAAAAGCTATGCTGCCATTGTTTTGGTGAAGACAGAAGCAGTCAAAGTTGCTCTTATGCAGGAACTGGTGTCTCCCTTCACAAGAAAGAGAACTCTAACAATGGAGGATGATATCACTCTGGATTAGGAGTTACAGATGGTTGTAAGTGGCCATGTGGGTGAAGGGAATCAAACCCAGGTCTTGTGAAGGGAGGCCGGTGCTCGAACCGCTGAGTCATCTCTCCTGCACAGGAGCTGCATTTCATAGATGTTGTGGGAAGCTAAGAGAGCAGTCAGGTAGAACACACAAAGTGCTGTTTTATTTGGCTTGCTTCTTAATGTTTTTCTTTAATTATAACTTTAAACAAACAAACAAAAACAGATTGTTGCCAGGCAGCGGTGGTGCATGCCTTTAACTCTAGCACTTGGGAGGTAGAGGCAAGCAGATCTCTGTGAGTTCGATGCCAGTCTGGGCTACAGAGTGAGTTCCAGGACAGTCATGGCTATTACATAGAGAAACCCTGTCTTGAAAAACAAAAGAAAACAAAATAGATTGTCATTTAAAAAAAATACTGATTTTTGTATCCTGGCATCCTGACTTTACATTTTTCAAATGTATCTTCTGAGTTTTCAAGTTTTTCACCTTGAGTTTATAGTACATAATAATCCAAATTAAAAATTTGAAAAGGGAACTGAAAGCTAAACATCCTTGAACAGTAAAAATAAGAAGAAGAAGGAAGAAGGAAAGAAGGAAGGAAAGAAGGAAGGAAGAAGGAAGGAAGAAGGAAGGAGGAAGGAAGAAGGAAGAAAAATCTGTTATAGGGGAGAAAATATCAGCAAAGTCTAAGAAAAATAAGGTATCTCTGTGCAACCTTGTCTGTCCTAGAACTCATTCTGTAGACCAGGCTGGTCTCAACTCACAGAGATCCGCCTGCCTCTGCCACCGAAGTGCTGGGATTAAAGGCATGTGCCACTACCACCTGCCTGAGCACAACAATTCTTATAAAGGAAACATTTAATTGAGGAGGTGGATTACAGTTTCAGAGGGCCATTCAGTTATCACCATGGGAGGGAGCATGGTGGCATGCAGGCAGACATGGTGCCGAGAGTGCTACGGCTTGACTCAGAGGCAACAGGAAGTCGATTGACTGTCACACCAAGGGAAGCTTGAGGAAAAAGACCCCAAAGCCTGCCCCTACAGTGACACACTTCCAACAAAACCACACCTCCCAATAGTGCCACTCCCTTTGGGGGTCATTGTCTTTCAAGTCACCACACCCTACAAGTGTGAGGACCTGAGTTCGATCCCCAGCACCCACATAAAAAGATAAACTGTGGTGGTACATGCTTGTAATCCCAGTCCTTGGGGGGCAGAGGCAGGAGGATTCCTGGGAGCTGCTGGCCAGTCAGCATAGCTGAATTAGTAAGCCTAGAACCTAGTGAGAGACCCCGCCTCTCAAAACAGAGTGAGAGCGCCCAGGGAATGACGCTAGACATTGGCGACTGGTCTCCATACCTCTGTGCACAGGTACACATGTGCACACTCCCCCTTCTTGCCACACGTGCACACCAACCCTAGAACACCGTTACATGCCCCACGAGAGCAACTCTTTTGTGTGCTTACTAATGCACTAAGATGCTTCATTTAAGTGAGAACATAGAGAGATCCAGTCTAGTCTGTTGTGGGCTTGATCTTGTACCTTGAGACGCTGCTAAAGATGAGATACGGGGTTTACTGAACAGGTCACTTAAAATCATCAGTCGGTGTCACAAACAGAACATTTGAAGAAAGCCCCACAGAGAATCCCACCATCTTAAACCACCTGTCATCATTTTTTTTTACTCCCTATTTTTCCATAGCGCAAAACAAAAACAAAACCAAACCCCCCCAAAAACAAACAAACAAACAAAAAAACAGAGTTCTGACTATACACAGCTGGGCCACATCATTTTATTTCTCAGAGACGTTTGTCACCATGCTATGTGTTCTCATCATGGTGACTCACTTGGTGGCACCAACCCATAGAAACAATGGGAGAAGGTTCACTTAACTCTGACATTTCTGTGACTTCCGGCTTTTCTATGCCACTGCGAACACCTCACACACAACCTGGTACTCTTTGATATCACTCCCTCAGCTCATGGTTCTAGGAACACTGTTACCTTGTTAAAGGACATGTCCCATGAAGTATACCGTCCCCCCAGAGACCAGTATAGCTCTTCCAGGCACTCTTACCACACCCATGGAAGCTGGGGATAGAGCAAGTCTTAGCCGACGGATGGTGTGCTGTGGTCTACCTAGCATGGGCAACCAGAGATCATCTTGCCAATGGATAGTTGCTTGTGTTCAAATCACCATTAACACCCTGCCATATTCTGCGATGAAGCAGATTTTCGTTCTTTATTCAATAGTACTCCCGGGACCTGGAGCCGACCTCCAGATACTGGGGTCAGAGAGGTAGAGTTGCATTCTGAGGTTGTTAGGGCCTGCCTTGTGAAACCTGAATGTGGAGGGATGCCTCTCTCAAGAAATGAACAACTTGCTTCAAGGAAAAGGTAAAAAATAGATGTCACATTTGACATTTACAGGAGATGGAATAACATTTCACTAAGAGAGAGGCAAGTGTGGGCCGACAGAGAAATCAAACCAGATTTCCTTCCATGGGCCCCCACTCCTTTGAGACAGAACCTGGGCTTCAGGACCACAGAACAAAAGCCTGCACGTTAGCCACAGACATCCATCCAGCTTAGGGAGAATTTTGAAGACTGTAATATTAGAATCCAGCCTCTGCTGGATATGCCTCCTCCCATATGCCGATTGGCATCCTACTGGGTCACTGTTTGTGATTCCAGAGCTAGCCCACTGACTGGTGTCACCACTCACAGGAGAGCCCCATGCTGTTCTCCACCCCATCCCCTGCGTCCTCTCCGAGAGCCAGGCTGTGAACCTTCCTCAGCCTCTGCTGAGTGGGCTCTGATTCTCTTCAGGGGCCCTGCTGTGCTATCGCTGGTGTTGGGGCCTGAACTCTCCCCGGAGCTCCAGCATCACTGATGCCCGTCTGTCTGTCTGTCCATGCTATCAATAACTCTAGTAGACTCCAGGAGACCACTGCCCCATCCTCTTGAAACACCCATCCCTTCCAAAACCTAACTCCAGTGCCTTGTGCAGGAATTAATCCTAGGGAAAGCAGATGGTTGGCGTGACTGTCCAACCCCACCTCCAGTCGGTACATAGAGATAATTGTCCATTTCCCTCCCAGGGAACCTATAGCCCTGAACATGGTTGTTTGGTTAGTTGGTTTTTGTTTGTCAAGACAGGGTTTCTCTGTGTAACAGTCCTGGCTCTCCTGTAACTTGCTCTGTAGACCAGGCTGGCCTCAAACTCACAGAGATCTACCTGCCTCTGCTTCCCGAGCGTTGGTGATTAAAAGTGTGTGCCACCACCACCTGGCCCCTACAGGCGGTTTCTCACTTTGCTGGCCACCCCCAAAGAAAGGAGGGAGCCCGAAGGAGCAGGGACATCCCATGCTGAACAACTGTACTTCTTGAGAAATCAAGTTCAAGTTCAGATTCAGTATCCTCGGCCATTATATCGAGTTCATTTTTCTCCAAATGTCCACCACCCTTGCCTTATCACCTGATAATTGCCATTGACCAAATAAAAGAAAACTAAATGTCTTCCTTGTCCCAGGACGCTCGCTGGCACATTCAGGATCAATCTCTGATGCTGAAAAGAAGTGTTACTGCTTGCTACCTACGTGCAACTGTCCCTGATAGCTCTGGTATTTTTTTTTGTTTGTTTGTTTGTTTTAATAGTTACTGTTAGCACTCAGGCATTTAGCCTGGCCTGCTCTCAGGGGCCTAGCGGGACTCATCATCAACCGCAGCCAAGATGTGACCCTGGAGCTACCCTAGTCACCAAGTAGAGCAACCCTCCCTATGCAGATGCACTTTATCCCCTCATAAAAGGCAAACCCCTCCTGCCCCTCTCTCTTTTCCTTCTGAGCTCATACAGAGCCGCCCCTCCCCCCAATAAGCCTCCCACCTGAGCTCTTTGGTACGGTGTGAGTTTGTGGCGCCTCTTGGCTCTAACCCAGCGCTCTGGCTATGGTGTAACACCATGACCAAAGCAACTTGAGGAGGAATGGGTTTGTTTGGTTGACACTTCCACATCGCTGTTCATTAGAGAAGGAAGTTAGGGCAGAAACTCACTCAAGCAGGGCAGGACCCTGGAGGCAGGAGCTGATGCAGAGGCCATGGAGGGGTGCTGCTTACTGGCTTGCTCCCCATGGTTTGCTCAGCCTGCTTTCTTACAGAACCCAGGACCACCTGCCTAGGGATGGCACCACCCACATTGGGCCCTCCCCCGTCAATCACTAGTTAAGGAAATGCCCAGCAGGTTTTCCTACAACCTGGCCTTGGGGGTGGGAGGGGTGTTTTCTCAACTGAGGTTCCCTCCTTGGATGCCTTTAGATTGTGTCACACTGACATGAAATTAGTCAACACAGCTGACCCCTTGTCAGCTTGTCACACAAACACATCACTGTTGAGACACAACCCTTCCTTTCTTGTTCATCCCCGAGATCTCACGTTAGAAATATAAGTGACTTTAAAATTCATGCAGTCTTTAAAAATTCAAGCACATTAAAAATTCAGTCTCTTTAAAGGACCCAATCTCTTTTAAGGTTCAACATCTTTTAAAATCCAAAGTCTCTGCAAAATCAAAACTGAATTAACTGCTTTTTAACTTTAAGAGGGAAGACGTTTAGGAAGTTCAGGGCACAGTCACAATCAAAGCAAAACCAAACACTACAAGTATAACTAACTCAATGTCCAATACCTGGATTCATTCCGGGTTTTCTATGCTCCTTCTAGAAGCTTGGGTTCCTTCTCCAGCTCTGCCCCCTGCAGCACACACAGCTTGTCTTCCAGGCTCTGGATGGTGCCATTCCACTGCTGCTGCAGTGGCCATGCCACGGTGCTGGGACCTTCTGCTGCAGCCAGGCTGCGCTGTCACCAATAGACTCTCATAGGCTCTCCTCATGGTGTCAGCCCTCAACGTCTATGCATGAACCCTTCAGTCCTGAGTCTTCCCCTGCCACTGAGGCTGCATCTTCACCAGTGGGCTCTTACAGTGCCAAGCCTCCGCTGCTTTCCATGACCCCTGCATGCCTTCAAAACCAGTATCACCTGGGTGGGTGACTCTTAAACTTGCAAGTCCAGCTGCTGGCCCGAGGTACAATCTTGGCCTTCTCTGGAACACAGCATCTGTGTGCTGACTCTGCGGAAACAGTGAAACAGAAGATTTCAGTTCAAAGATGCTGGTCTCTTCTCAATCATTGCTAATTTCTCAGCTCCAGATGGCCAGCGGCCAGCATCCAGCAAAGCAAAGGTTCACTTCAGTAGCTACGGTGTCTTGTAGATCACAGGTGAATCTTCAGCCCCAGCTGACCAGAACCACAGAATCTTAATTCAAAATAACAAATGGCCCTGGTCGAGTCTTTAAGCTTCCCTCTGAAACCTCTCAAGCCAGGCCTCCATCTTCTGCAGTGCCTCAACGTTCTTATCTTCAAAGATCCCACAGAAGAGCTCACCAAACACTGAACACGCAATGGCTTTTTCTGCACAAAGTTCCAAAGTCCTTCCACAATCCTCCCCAAAACAACACGGTCAGGTCTGCCACAGCCACACCCCACTATCCTCGTCCCAACTTGTCTTAGCCAGGGTTTCTATCGCTGTGATGAAACTCCATGACCAAAGTAACGTGGGGAGGAAAGGGTTGATCTGGCTTAAACTTCCACATCACTGTTTGTTATTGAAGGAAGTCAGGACAGGAGCTCAAACAGGGCAGGAACCCGGAGGCAGGAGCTGATGCAGAGGTCATGGAGGGGCTGCTTGCTGGCTTGCTCAGCCTGCTTTCTTATAGAACCCAAGACCACCAGCCCAGGGGTGGCCCCACCTACAATCACTAAGAAATTACAGGCTTGCCTGCAGCCTGATATTATTTTACAGGTATTAAAATATTAATATTTTAATATTATATTAAATAGATATTAATTTGAGGTATTTCTCAGTCGAGGCTCCCTCCTCTCAGGTGGCTTTAGCTTGTGTCAGGTTGTCACGCTCCATCTATTTGCTGCTGGGTTGTTTGAGTTTTTCTTTTTGATTCAGAAGACTGGGGTCCGTTTCTGTACTAGCTCAGCAAACCCTTGCCTTTCTTCAGTCACACGAAGTCTCAGTATGTGTCTGTCTCAGGCCCTCTCTTTGTATGAGGGTCAAACCAAGGACTCGGACATGGCAGAAACCCCTCCAATACTGGGCTACACCTCCAGGGCCTGATTTTGTAAGGCAGAATCTCCTTGTGCCACCCAAGTTGCCCTCAACCCAGAATCGCCAGTCTCTATCTCCTGATTGTTGGGAATACAGGCAAGCACCCCTACATCAGGTTTATGGTATATAGCCCCCCCTTTTTGTAAATTAAATTTCTAAGGAAATTTCATTTCAAAGAATTAGTTTCACTGTAGTGTTTTTCAAACAAAATTTCCTTTATTCATTTCTCTCCTTCCCATTATTGCCCACTCCGTCTGCCCTTCCACCGTCAGTGGCCTCCGTTCTTCTTTTCATTCACAGATGGCTTTTTTTGCCCGCTCCCTATTTCTCAACCCCTCACTCCACTCTGGAGCCTCCTACTTTCCGATCTAGTTTCAGTCTCTGTTCTCCCTCACAATCCTTCAATTGCATACATGTTGTGATGGGTACAACATGACAAAATCTTGAATCGCCTAGGAGATAATATGGAGCTTCAAGTCAGCCTCTGGGAAAGACTGTCAGGGATTATTTTGAATTACAAGCAGGACCTCCTCTGGGTAGGGTACCCTGGACTGTGTAGAATGGAGACAGGGAGCCGAGGGCAGGCATGTATGCACCTCTGTTCCCTCTGACTGTAGCTGGGATGTGTAAGTCGCCCCAAACCCGAGCTGCTGTGACTTCCATCACAACGGTGGACTGCCCTCCATCTGGGAGCGGAAGTAAAACTTTCCTCTCGCCCTGCTTCTGTTGGGGTATTTTATCTCAGCAACAGGAACGAGAAACTAAGACATAGACACTGAAGGTTAGGATCCCCACGCGAGGAAGGCGATGCAAGTCTCATCTGAGACGCACTTAACTCACACATTTGACACTTTCCAGTTTGATTCATTTCCTGCAAATTCCATCTCTCTTTACAGCTGATATTCCATTGTGGGTGGATGGCCCAGTTTCATTATCCAGTCTTCTTTTGGTGGGTTCCTGGCTATTGTGAACATAGCAGCAAGGAACCGCGCTGTAAGTGTGTCTGAGGTAGGCTAGAGAATCCTTTGGGTACCATAAATACCCAATGACATAGCTGGGCTCGATGGTCGTTCTACTTTTCAATTTCTGGGGGAATCATCTCACTGATTCCCATAGTGGTTTCACTAGTTCACACTCCCACCAGCAGTGAACAAGGACCCCACTTCCCCTAGTCCCACTACCCTTGCTGTCATTTCTCGATCCTATCTACTGGTGGGGGGAGAGATGGAATCTCTAAGGGGTTTTCATTTGAATTTCGCTGATGGCTAAGGCTATTTAACATTTTAGAAAATATTGGTCATTTGTGTCTCTTTTGAGAACTGTCTGCTCATTCCATTAGTCACTTACTGATTGGCAGGTATGTGTACACACACACACACACACACACACACACACACCCTAGAGCACTGGTTGCTCTTCCAGAGGTCCTAAATTCAATTTCCAGCAATCACATGGTGGCTCACAACCACCTGTAATGAGATCTGGCGCCCTCTTCTGGCCTGCAGACAGACATGCAGGCAGGACACTGTATACATAATAAACTTAAAAAAAAAAAGGCTGTCTGTTCATTCTGCTGATAAGTTTCTGCACATCAATGGAAACTTTTAATTTCATGCACCCCATTTGTTGATTTTTAGGTCTATGTCCTGTGCTGTTGGCATTCTCCGGAAAGGTCTCACCCACACCTGTAATTTCCAGGTCATTCCTTATGTTCATTGCTTCTTTCCCCCTTTCTTGTGCACACCCCTGGTCCAACATTTCAGGTTTTAAATGAAGATTTATTAGTTTTAAAAGGATTGGCCTAACGGACAGTTCGTTCCATAGGTTTGCTATTGTTATGTCAGTTCAGGATTAATGAGCTTGCAAAAGTACGTGATGTGATAAGATCAGGTTTAGTGTCAGGCTGGGGTTTGGGTTTTAGAAGTCACAGAGTAACTAACGTTTCCCAAATACAGTGCCTGGTGTGGTCCCAGGTGTGGGACCCAGCCACGGCATTCTCAGTAGAGGCCCTAGTCTCAGTAGTTTACCCTAAGGCAATACCCAGTTGCAAGAAAGACCAGGAACTGAGACCACCCAGGCACCACCCAGGAACAGACCGTCCAAAGGAAATTCCTAACGTTCCAACCATTGTAGATAGGATCACCTGCCAGCACACATCCATCACTTTTCATCAGGATACCCCTAAACAAATGTTAGCCAATCAGGGGTCCTGAACCTTAGAAATCCCTCACCCCCACCTCTGCTATTATAAAAACCCCACCCCAGCTGAGCTCGGAGCTCTCTGATCATACCAATGCATTGAACACACGGAGAGTCCCAGTTTGAACCTGAATAAGAATAAAGGCTCTTCGCTTTTACATACAGGACTTGGTCTCATCGTTGGATTTTGGGGGACTCCGCGATCTGGGCATAACACCAGGCAGGCAAACCCCAAAGCTCGTGAAACAGAACTCATTTCTCAGCTAAGGACGAGAAGCTGGGGCTTGCACTCTCCTTCCGGCCCCAGGAATCCATGGTCCTAAACCTGCTCCAGAGTAAGCATGTCACCATTGAGGCTGGCAGCCAGAGCAGGTAGAAGATCTGCCAGCGACAGTCTCCAAGGCAGGCAAGGCTCCCCAGAGACTCTTCGGTGCAAATGGATGAGCTGTTTTAAGGCAGACAACGATGAAAGGAAAACAAAGCCGTTGAAAACAAAAATGTCCTTGGTGACCATTAGCCCCTGACTTTCAGAGCCTCTAGAATGACTCAAGCGTCCCCTGGGAGTAAAACCTCCCATGCTGATTCCATTTCTTGTTGTCCTGTGTGTTCCGATTTCCGTTTGAACGACTTCTTTCCTGTCCAAATAAATATTCCAGCATAAATTTCCAAGGGAGGGTTAAAATAGAGGTTGGGAGAGGTCAGAGTAGGATTCTGCTCTGAGCTAGCCCTGTGTGTGTGCAAGATTTGGGCGTGGGGAAGGAGTGTGTGTGTGTGTGTGTGTGTGTGTGTATGTTTGCGGTGTTATTTCTGATGCTCCTTGTCTGCCGCATACCCCTGCATTTGAAATTCTCCTTCTGTGGCAGCTTCTACAGCTTTCCAGTCAGACTGAGTTTCCTGAATGTGCAGGGGAGAAGATTTTTGAAGAGGCCTGCTACATTTAAGAATCCCTATCCGGGGCTGGGAGCGTGACTTGGAAATAGGATGTAGCCTCTGCGTGTGTGAAGCCCCCTGTCAGAGCCGAAACTAGAAAGACAAACCTCTCCTGCTCTCTGTCATTTATCAGACAAAGAGGAATTGGGGGCATCCTGGCCTGAAAGCCTTCATTCAGCATAGGCCTTTGGCCTGCACAGAAGTCAGGCTGGGGTATAAAGGATGCCTCAGTGATAGTGAACTGGGAGACTACAGCAGGAGGCGGCCTACTTAGGTCAAGGGAGGGAGTGTGATCAGTGAGCAAGTTGGTGTTTGGAATAACTGAGCTTGTAGTGCCTGCAGCCAGCACAGAGGAGAGGGAGGTGGCTCCAGGAAGCATTTCTGACCCAGAATCAGGGGGCTACGCTGAGCCTGAGGGCTGAGCTGGCAGCGGGGCTACGCTGAGCCTGAGGGCTGAGCTGGCGGTGATGACAGAGGCCAGAGAGAATGAGGGTGCACAGGATGGAGGCGAAGAACTCCAACATCAAAGGTGGGGCCCTCCACCCATTTACCCCTCAGAAGGCTGACTTTCCGGTGGTGATTCCCAGGGCCTTGTCCTTTGCTGTTTGCCCCCAGGGGCCAGCTTCATGCCTGGTGCTGGGTGGGTGCTGGCTTGATGGGGTGCAAGCGTAAACGTTTACCCAATTTGTGGTTCATCATCAGTCGCTAGAGGATTATTTCCCTTCTACCACAGAGTACACAGGTCGGGCAGCAGCTACCTCCTGGGGCCTGCTGTATACCCAGGCCTGGGGTAAAACCCCAGGGGCACAGTTCATGGCCTAG